GTAAGCGATACAGCACTTCCTGGTGCCCCCGTGGCAGGCTGCCTGCGCCATCTGTTCGTGTCACTTCGGTCATTAACCAGTGTGGCCCGCGGGCTTTGTCTGCTGACAGTGATGAACGGCAGCACTGCTCCCCACAGCACGGCCCTGCAGGTAGCAGGAGGGGGATGCTGTGCTGTTTGCATCCATATTCACACCTGGGATTTGCAGGAACAGCACTTGGACGAGCTGAGGGCTGCTACACCCAAATGCACGCTTGCCTAACAGAGCTGGAGGAAGCCATGGTGGGGAAGAGGAGCCAGAGCTGGCTGTTATACAGGCCTACACTGCAAGCCAAATTTTGTTTCAAGTCGCAGTGGCCCTACAGAAATGGCATGGCATGTGCTGGGGCTGTGTGTGCGTCACAGAATTAACCAGTAAAGGTCAGCTGCAATGGAAGAGGGGCATAAGCCTTTGTGCAGTTTATGGAGATAAGCCAGAGCCGGGAAGTTGGACTCTGGTTTCAGACAGCTTCGTGCTGTGCATGTGGAGAGGGTGACAGAAAAGGGAACAGAGAGGTTGGGAATGGCTCCTTCTGAGATTTATAGTTCATTTGTATGGCCTGAATTTATTAAGCCTCCATTCTCTTCTCCTTTCTGTGGAGAAAATCGGAGCTGATCCTCAGGTTCAGCCCTATGTTTACAAAAGACTTTTCAACCTCCGCTGAGGTTGCTATGGAAATCACACTAGTTTGTGTCTCGTGTTTGTCTTACCAACCTGATTTGTAAAAGAATGGTGTGAATTTAGTGCTGGCTGAGTTCCCAGCTGGCCGCTGGTCCTGGAAGGCATCCTTGCAGTCTCAGCCCTGGCTGGAGCAACGCAAACAGCTTCCTCCACACTGTCTGCCAGCTCCCCAGCTCCTGTGCCTGCAGCTCTCCCAGCCTTGGGTTGTCTTCAGCCCACCAGGACAGAAACCATCCAGTGCCAGGCTGGACTCAGCCCTGCCAGGGAGACACCAGCTCTGCTGCAGAGGCCACAGCAGCTCCCCTGTCCCCTCTCAATCACCACAGGCTGTTTTACAAAGCAGAATTGCTGCAAACCGATTGAGTTTCCTCTGCTGAGTAACTAAGCATAACTAATCCCTAGCGTTTCACCCTGTTTCTTCCTCACAGTCACCTCTCCAAACACACAGCTTCCCACAGCAGGGCTGTGAATGATGAGCTGCCAGGACTTGTCCCTCTGGTGCCAGTCCCCATGGGAGGAAGGCAGAATGGCAGCCTGAGGGCTACAGGGAGCAGCTGGACTCACTTGCCCAGAACATGGCTCCCAGCACAGCTCACAGCCCCAGGAAACAAACAGGGAGCTGCCTGTCATCCAGCAGAGCCCTCGCAAACAGTGGGGAAAGAGACCTGGGAACATCTCACTCTCAAACTACGCCTTGAGGGAGTTGGTGCTGACTCTTGATGTATTCTGCACGATTTACTTTTAAAAATATGGGGAGGGGGGAAAGATATTATTTAGATCATACAAAAATAGAAAGTATTTAATCAGAACATAAAGCCCACAAAATCAGAGTGCTGGGCTGGGATCTGGACAGGACTGGGCTGACTGGGGTCAGCAGATTTGCATTAGAACAGGGTAGTGTTTTCATAGGTCAGTTCGAACCAAACAACAAAACTCCCTAATCTTTATCAAAGAAGCTCATTTGTGTTTCTGAGGAGTTCTCCTACCACAGGGATCCTTCTGGAAGCACTGCAATCCTTTGCTGAGACAGACCCTGCACGTCAGGCAGGAGCAGCCGTGGAGCTCCAACACCCGCATTAAACGTGGGCAGCTGCGCTGCTGAAATCCCTTTGCATTTTTGTCCTGTTCCTGGTATGTGCCAGGGCACAGCTCAGCACCAGCATCCCTGCAGCCCAGTCCTTCTCCATCCTCGGGCAGAGGGCACTGCTGGCATGGAATCCAGCCCACACACTGAGGCTGCTTTCCCCTTGTTTCACCATCAGATCTCTGTGTTAGATGCTGTTTTGTGCTGCCCCTGCACTTCCAGACACTCTGTGAAAGGAAAGGGGTGTTTTCCAGCAAGACTGATGCTGTAATTAGTCAATTTACTAATAAGCTGAGGTGTGAACGGCTTTCTGTGAGACAGGAGGAGCAGCTGTCCCGCAGGCACAGCCCTCAGTGTCACCTCCCCAGCTGCCCATCTGATGGATGAGCTCTCCAGGAGCGGTGAAAAGGCTCTGGTGACTTCTGGGGAGGGAATGTTTTTGTGAATGGATCATGACACAACCATGGCCTGATTACCGAGCTGAGCAGCTCCCTCCACCCCCCCAAAAGCCATGTGTTAGCTGCGTCTGTCACTACTTAGCTGTCACAGTACAGTCTGGGACAATGCTCCAGTTTTCCCAGGGGATTCTCAGCAGAAAAGAGCACACTAGAAAGACACACAACGTCAGAGCATGAGGCACAGTCTCCCAGGAGAGATGCAGGCAGAGGAGGGGGAGTGACAGGCCATGGGGAGCTGCTGGGAGATGCTAGCACAGGCCCTTAGCAAGGGAGCAGCACCTTCACATCCCAGGGCTGCTCATTCCCGATTATCCTGCTGCTTGAGGGATGCACCATTCTGACTTGCACTTCTGACTAACCAGACAGAGTAAATAACAGACTGGGAGGAGAGGAAACTTTGTCCTGTGCAGCCCGGACCCACCCTCCTCCTCCCTCAGCTCAGCAGAGGAGAAAACACGCTGCTCCCTTCCTCCTCTGTTCTCAGTGCACTCCAGCAGGCAGACACAGACCCAGCCTGGCCCCAGCTGCCCGGAGATAGCAACGAGGTCTGCACACATGAGGCATGACAGCATCCTCCCTCTCGTTTTCCTTTTTTTTGTTTTTTTTTAAATGCAGCCAATGCAGCAAAGCCCCAAGCTCTTGCTCACATGCTGTTGTTTTTGCAAGTGATTTTATTTTAAAACTGGAACTCGAGTTCTCCATTTAACAAGTCCCCCCTTCCCCTTTCTTTTTTTAAATAAAATTAATTTATTCTACACAACAGTAAACTCTTCCAGACTCTTCCCTATTTACAAATTAACATCTTTTGCTTGCAGATCATTGCTTCCCCCTCCTTTTCCTATCCTGTGACACAAAAAGTGAGAAACAAAGCCAAAATCTGAAGGTCTGTAAGGCAGTGCTCCCATCCAGCCTTCTGGATCCCACCCTTCAGGCCTCAGGGAAGAACCAGAGTGACGATGTTTGTGTCAGATCTGGAAATCTCCCCTCGTCCACCCTGTGTGTTAAACCCATCAACCAAGAGCATCCAGCCTCTCCCTGCTCTTCTGAGCTGTGTTTTAGCTGGGCTGAGGAAGGAGAAATACCCCCAGCAGAGCCAAGTGCTCCTGCTGCCCTCTGAAGGGCCGAGTGTTTGGGGAGAAAGTGGCATTTGCTGCAGGAATGGCATCCAGCAGGCCTTGTCTCACACATCCATGGGCCAGAAAGGCAGCTCTCACATCACAGGAGGAGGCAAGGAGCCTTGGGGACACCTCCCCTGTCCTCTTGAAACGGAAGGCCCATGTGAGTCAAGCACTGGGGACATGCTTAGCTAGCTCTGGAAAGAAGGCACCTAATAAATAAAAATTTGGCCCAACTCAATTCCAGGCAAATTCAAGGCGTTGGTTTTTTTTTTTTTTGTTTTTGAGGTTGTGGCTTGGTTTGTACCTCTTTGAACTAAGTGGTAGCTTCGAGCTGGGTATGGTGGGGTCTGTTCTACCTGGAGACCTGTCCAGACACTCCAAGACCACCTGGCTCAGATCCTGTGAGCACTGTCACACAAGGAGCCAGGAGTCCTGGTCCTGGGTAAGACAAGCTGTGTCAGCCAAACCAAGGGGGATGTGTATACACTTTGTCTGCAAGCAAAGCTGCCCATCTGGAGGGTCTCCCACCCCCCGTGAGGCACAGACCCTGGCCTGTAAGACCATCCTCAGGCCTTCCATGACCTGCTGGAAAAAGAATCAACGTAGTGTTTTTGTTCCTGGGAGCCCAGCCAAGCAGGAATACCTGCTTTTACTTGCAAGGCAGAGCTGTCCCTCACCTCTGGACACAGCCCCTGGGCTCTGCCTGACCCCTCGAGACATCCCAAATGACCAAAAATTGATGTAAAGAGGAGGTGTTGTCATATTTTCCAAGGTTTGCCTTGAGCAATGGAAAATATTGCCCAGCTGCAGAAGAGAGCAGGCAGAAGACTGAAGACTGATGTGGAGAGCTCAGGTTTTGAAAAATCAAGGAAGAGAGGGAAGAAGAAAGGGCTATCCAGGGATTCTCTGTTGGTACAGCAAGGAGAGAAAGGAAACAAAGGAACAGAAAATACAGAACAGCAGGAAAACCCTTCCTTGAATGCAATTCATTAAGCTTTGGACAAAAGCCTTCTTCTGTCAGAGGGTAGGAAACACGTGCCCCAGAGGGAGCCCAAAAGCCAGCCCAGATAAACCCTCAGGCCTCTGCAGCAGCACCCTCTCAGTGATCCATGTGTGCGAGAAGAGTCTCTGCATGGAGATCTGACATTTCCATGCTCATCCCAAAATGCCAGAGTCCCTCAGCAGCTGGTTTGCAGGGCGATGGTGCCAGAAGGATGTTGGCCATGCTGGGCTCTCACCCCGGAGGGGACATGGCGAGGTGCTTTGGCCAGAGGATGGAGCCTGCCACAGCTTCGGGTGCCATCCCACAATGGTCATAGCCAGGAGGAGATGCAGGGAGCCCAGCTCGGCCCTGGGAGAGCTCTTGGTCCGGAGGGAAGGAGAAGAGGTTGCAAGCTCTAAAATGGCACTGACTCTTTCAGCCTCCCACACTCCCAGCACTGCCCCAACTCTGGGGCTGGCGCCAGGTCCAGCTGGGGCAATGCCCACTGCTGCCACAGCTCCCAAAAGCAGCAGGGAGCGAGGAGGACATCCCAGCTGGGTCACTGGTGGTGGCAGGAGGAGGTGGCGAGGTCGGTGCAGCGGTGAGGGGCACTCTGCCCCGCTCCCCCCACCATGCAGCCCCCAGCACAGGGGGCTCAGTAGAAGGAGTACTGGTTTTCCACCGCCCGGGTCCGGCTCCGGGCACTGTCAGCCTCGTGGTAGTCCTCAGCACTGGCAGCAGGAGGCTCCGGCCGGCGCTCGGCGCTGTCGCTGCGGCTCCGAGGGCCCAGGGCACCCTCCAGGCGGTGGTAGGGTGCGGGGACCGGGACAGTGGGGGCCACGGCCACCCCCTCAGCGGGCGGTGGCACCGGCGGGCCCGTGGGTGCTGTGCTGCAGAAGTAGTGTGGAGGTGGCAGGTCGACCCTGCAGCCCGGTGGCTGCGGCACGAGGGGTGGCGGGGGGCCGGTGTCTGCAAGGAAAACAGGAGCTTGACCTCTCCTGTGCTGCCTGCGAGCTCAGCACCTTCCCACACCCCCTCTCCATCCCCTAACCCTGTCCTTCTCCAAACCCCTCCTTCCCGCTCTCTCCCAGCACAGCAGGACATTCCGAGCCTTGCACACCTCTCTGCTCCTCTCAGGGGACTGACACCCACAACCAGGGACAGGGGGTCACACCGACACAGCCCTGCTGCTGCACGGTCCTAACATCCACCCTGGCACATCCCCAGAGCCACACACATCAGTAGGGCACTGCTTTAGGGAGGGAATCCCATGGGTCTGTCCCTTTCAGGTGCCCCCAAGATCCCAGTCCCCACCCAGCCCTGGCACCTACCGGGCTGCGGGCTCTGGGCCACCACGTAGCTGCGGAGGGTGATGTCGGCCGCGCCGCCCGACTCCAGCGGGATGGGATGTGTGTGGAAGTGGCGCAGCATGTCAAAGATGGTCTGGAACCAGAGGTGCTGCACGTGGCACTGCCCGCTCTCGTTCAGTGACAAGCGCAGGTGCTGCAAGTGCAGGGGGCAGGGGGTGAGCTGGGGGTCATGAGGGTGAGATCCACCTTTGCAATCTGCAGGAGCCACCTCCACCAGCCAAGGGAGGTCTGCTCCTAACATAGGATTGTTGTGTTTACCGTGCTGCAGGGTGTTTCCTGTAAAACCTCACTTGCTGCAGCCCCAGAAGTTTGACCCCTCCTGGGGATGAACACCACAAAGAAACACACAGAGAAGGGCATCTGGGTGCAACCTGGGGCGGCTGAAGCTCTGATCCCGGGGTCACAGACAGCCTGGGGAAGCCTCTAGCCCACCTAAACCTCTTGCAAGGTTACAAGAACAGGCAATCTCTGTTAGAGAAGGGACCCAGCAAAAAGCTGCTTGTGGTTGGTTTTCCATAGTTCATCCATGTACTTCAGAACACAGAACAGACAAGGAGAGGGCAGGGGAAGGTGTGCCAGGCTACACTGAGCATCCATGGGGTATTTATCCCTATTTATCACATGACAGGCACTGATCCAGTTGGGAAAGTGTAGAAGAGGCTAGGCAGGATGCAGAAGGGTCTTGGGGCACAAAGGGCAGATGGTCCTGAGGGATGGCCTACTGGGGTGCAGCTCCCCACACAGCTGCTGCATCTGGGGTCACCCACAGAGCAAGAAGGAACCTGAGGTGCTGGGCAGGGCTGGCACTAAAATTAATGGAGAAGCAGAGGACATGGAGAAGCAGAAGACACCCACCTTGGCTTTCCCCTGGAAGTTGAAGGTCAGCACGTACTCCCCCGGCCGTGTCTCGCTCTGCCGGATGACGAACAATCCATGACTGCGGGCACCCCCGAACAGCACCAGCTGGGCTGCCTTGATCCGTGACAGAGTCCCGTGGAACCAGGGGAAGTCAGACAGGTTGATCTCAGCCTCGGCCTCGCTGTCCTCCCCTGCCCGCAGGGACAGCAGGTTTTTTAGGGAGCACCCAAACATCACCCCCTCTCCTCCACTCCCTCTGTGCACCCTCCAGAGTGAGATGCTGGGGCTGCATCCTGCATCCCAGTACCTGTGAGATGCCCACCAGCAGTGGGGGAGGATTCCAGCGTCTGCAGGAAGCTTTCCAGTGGGACGTGGGTGAGGAGCTCCCCCAGGGAGTCCCTGCCCCGGCCGTGGGGCACGGGGACAGCGGTGGCCATGGCAGTGTTGTGAGCGCTGGGCAGGGCACATCTGTCTGGTGGCCTGGGTACCTCTGGAAGGGAAATTGCAGAGGGATGAGCTCGTGGCTCAGCATCACCCACCATCACTGGGCAAAGCTGGGGGCTGTCCTGCTCTACAGGAAACTGTGTTGGATACTCCTGGATCGTAGAGACACCAGCGGGCTAGGTTATGGCTCAGAGGGACTCCCAGACTTTCCCAGACGTAGCTCCTTACCGTCATTCAGGAACTCGCAGCTGGACGAGGTTGTCCTGCCTGGCAGACAGGCTCCCTGTGCACAGGACACCAGCTCAATGTCGTCCCCACTGTCCCTGGAGGAGAGTACAGACAGAAACACACATGTGGCACCTCCACTCACTGGCATGGAATGGGGACTCAGCCAAACAAAATTCCAGCGTGATTCAAGAGCACATCCTATTGCTGCTGAATTCTTCCCAAGGGGTTGCCACTGCACCAAGAGCATTGAGAGGCAGAGCAGCCACCAAACATGAATTTTGGGGATGAGAAACCAGCGTGGGAGGGATTAAACCCTTGAAAGCCCACACTGAAAGCCCACACTGAAAGCCCACGGGTCATGCTGGTCGGTTCCAGCTGCAGGATTTTACTGCAGCCTTGTGGGTTTGAAAGGAAAGCTGTTACCTTGACTCTCAGTGCTTTGCACCCACACACCCTCCCACCACCAACCTCCACCTGAGGGCGCTTTCACTTTCACCCTCTGCAAAAGGAATTACCCACCCACAGGAATTACATCCCTAAAAGACATAAAACACTAAGTCAGGAGGCCTGGAGCAAGACAGCAAGTGGGAATAGAGCCAGGGAGCCACTCAGAGCATCCCTGTTGCTGGCCCTCCTCGTGCACTTCAGCACCCTTCTTGCACAAGCATCCGACTTGCTATCCGACATCCTATTTTTATCCCAGCCACCAGCAAGAGTCCGGAGCTGCCCACAGCACTTGGCTCTCTTGCTTCACACGGGCCACGTGGGCACAGGGGAAGCGGCTGCGTCGGTGGCAACAGCTCCCTGTGAGCTGCTGAATTATTTAGTGGCCAGTAAGTGAATCAGCCATTGGGAGTCATTCAGCTGCAGCCAGTTAAAAACAAGAAGGGAGGAAGGAAACCAAAACCAGCAGTGCTCTGCAGAAAAGCCGTGGCTGGGCGCTCACGCGGCGGCTCCAGCACGCAGCCCTTGGCAAAAGCATCGGGAGCTGATTGAGAATTCGCTCTTGGCACGGAGCGTGTGTGTCGGTGTATTAAACAGCTCATTATTATTTGCTCTGGAGTTCATTATTATTTGCTTTGCAGTCACGTCCGGAGGCCAGCGCGGGACGGCGCTGGGTGCTAAGCAAACAGAAAGGGCTGGGAGGCTGCCAGGGCAGAGCCAGGGGCTAGCGTGGGGATGCTGGTGGCTACTGAGGTGGCTCGAGGGGAGCATGGCTGTGGTGCTCAACTCCAGCTGGAAAACCAGCACTGAAACATGGAGTGAGGGAGAAAAGGCCTTTCCCCAGCCCAGCCTTAGCAGTGATTCTTGAGTTACAGAATCACAGAACGGTTTGGGTTGGAAGAGAATTTAAAGCTTATCTCATTCCATGGGCAGGGACACCTTCCACTAGCCCAGCTTGCTCCAAGCCCCATTCATCCTGGCACTGGACACCTTCAGGGATGGGGCAGCCACAGCTTCTCTGGGCAATCCGTGTCAATTATATATTATAGAATTACAGATTTCAGAAAACAGCAAAAGGAGCAAAGCTTTGGAATGCACATCCTCTCTGTGAGATGCAGCCTCCATGGTGACCAAATGCCTCTCTCTAGCAGGAGGGGACAAAGGCAGCCTGGAGGGAGCAGGAACCTCTCCAAGCCTCTGTTCCAGGTTTGCTTGATGTTTTCACTTCTACAAGCATAGGCACCTGTTTTTTCCAAAACTGTGCCAAGAAGGCAGTGCCAGGGTTTCCCCAGAGGCTGGGCCTGTCTGAGGCAGCTGAAGGGCAGCAGAACCAGGTACACAAACCTCCCTAACACAACTTGATGCATGTGCTGGTGAAACATCAGATGAGAAGTTTTGGCTGAGTTATGACTCCAATGACAACACTGATGCCACTGTGATAGAAATACAAATAAATCAATTCAACCAGCAGAATCTTAAATACATAATGGATGCTAAGCTGGAAAAAAACATGGAAAATAGCTCAAATATGATATAAAAGCTTCAGAAGGTGAGTGTTAGGAGCTTCCTGCTTTGGGGCTGTGTTCCTTGCCAGGCTGAGAGGACATAGGGCAGAGAAAGGTGAACAAGTAGCCAGTGCTCTGCACCCCTGGCAGACACAGGCTGCTAACTCTGCTTCCAGACTTCTGCTGGGGTGATTTGGGCACTTTCTGTGACAACCAAGCAAAAATTGCATCTGGGTACCAGCCTGTGCTCAGGCAGCACAGCTTGGCACCACAGAGCCCCTTCCCCAGCAATCCTTACCCAGGGTCGATGCAGTCCTGGATATCAGCCACCCACGAGTGCTTCTGCAGGGAGTCGATGGTCTCCAGGATGTACTCAGCCCCATTCTCCACCTGCAGGCCATGTGGGATGGAGTCAGCTGTGCTGCCCCCTACTCCGAGGCAAAACACACCCCATAACCCAGCCAGACCCCCTGAACAGCACCTCAGCTGAGCAGGAGAGGATCAGTGTCCCACCCCATCCCAAGGGGTGACCCAGAGGATCAGTGTCCCACCCCATCCCAGTACAGAAGTTCCAAGGAGTGACCCACAGAGATGAATACAAGATGACTCCTGACTAAATCTGCAGCTCAGAGGAAAACTCCACCCCACCGTTATCAGAAAATACATGACAAGTTTTTTACAAGGTTTTTACAGCCTCTATGGAAAAAACACACCTGGCTGGCAGCACTGGGGTACATGGCACTATGCCCAAGCACAGACAGTATCCCTTGCTCCTGGGGCACCTCTGTGTCCCCCCAAAACTAGATCTGCACATGTATAGCAGAAGTCCCAAAACCCTGCCAGACTCCAGGAGTTTTAAACCTCTCCTCCACTGTCTTTTCTGCCTGCTGGTCTATGAGGCTTCTGACTTCTGATTGCAAGAGTGCAAGAGTGCAAGAGTGACTCTGACTGCAGAGTGGGAGAGAAACCCCCTTCCACAGGGATAAAAATAATAAATAAGAATTAGGATGCCAAAAAGCCTCCAAACTGTCCAGCCCAAAGAAGCTGTGCCTTTCTGGGGCCGAGCAGAACCCAGAAGCTCCACATCAGTGGACTCAGATGCCATGGGATGCTGTGTGCCTCTGGAAGGTTTCTCTGCATCCCTCATGGAGCCTTAAACATCATGTTCCCGAGGTGGCAGTGCAGCCGTGACTCTGGGAAGGTGTCACATTGCCAGCTGAGACAACCTCCAAGCAAATTCAATTAATCACAAACAACTGAATCACCGTCCTGAAAATAAGCAGGGAGGGCAAGGAGCAGAGCAGTGACCTGGACCCTGTCCCGAGAAGAGGTGGAGGGGTGTAGCAAAGATCCCCCTCCCCAGTTTGTTTAACTTAAGAAAGGATCTTCTCTGGCTTTTTGAGGGCAAAGCATGAAGCTGACGTGGGAGATGGGGCTGCTCACTCATGCAGACATGACAGCAAGCGAAGCATGTGCAGGGCTTGGGTATTTTGCAAGCACCTGCTTGTGCAATGGAAAAAACTGCATGTGCTTGGTGTTTGGTGGGCTCTGGGGACACGCTGGCTGCTCATTTTTAGGCAATCTGGCAGAAAGTATTTCAGTGTGGCTTCCCCAAATAAGGCAGGGGCTTTTCCACCCATCGTAACCTGTGTGTTGTGTGGGAAGGTTGAGATTGGGCTCCACATCACACGGGAAGGGAAACCACAGCACTCACCTTGCCCCCTAACCTGTACCCCAGCACTGAGGGTGCTTCACCCCTTCTGCAAGTCCAGCCAGCAAAGGAGGAATGGGAGAGCAGAAAGGTGTCCCAGCAAGAAGGGCCCAGGCAGAAAATGAGCCATGAATAACAGTGGATGTGAGAGAAGGGGAACAGCATCCTGTGCCAACAGATGGGGAGGGAGAGCAAAGCCTGGCTGGGTGGGCTCCATGCTGTGCTTGCTGCCTCAGCTCACTCAAAGGATCAATTGTGATCGATTCCCCTGTGGCAGGGGGAGAGCCAGGAGCAGGAGGTACCTGGTAGAGCAGGTATTTTCCAGCTGGCAGGGTTTGGAGCATTCCAGAAGGGCATTAAAGGAATGGCTGATGCAGTCACCAAGCTATTAGCAGTGGGAATGGAGAGAGCATGTCTCGCTTCAGAGGACGGGAAGAGGGCAAGTGCAGAATTTTCCTCCAGCAGCCAAAGAAACCAACCCTCACAGGCACCCAGGAGCCATCCCAGAGCTGAAACCCCCCAGCAGGGATCTGTCATGACCAAGCCCATCTGCTCATGCTCGTGGCAGCCCCAGGGATAAGGAGAAGCAGTGGCACATCCTCTGTGTTGAACATGCTTTGGACACTGATGTGACACATTTGAAGTGGGGATTGTAAGGGGATCTAGAAAACGTGACAAGAAGTAGTTGATGAGTGATATTCCAAGAGCAGAGATCAATGGCTGATGGGTTATCAATGGCCAGTGGTCAAAGCTGAGAGATATGCTCAGCAGCTCCTTCCCATCAAAGGCTCCTCAGTGATGAGGACAAAAGAATGTGAGGATGCCTGATCAATTCATGGCTGACATCACACTGCAAGTGTGTGTTGGAGGAACAGGCAAGAATTCAAATGAACTTGTCAAAGCTGAAGTGGAAGAAAAAGCTGAAACCAGCCTCCAGCTCAAGGACAAGGTGAGCCCTGGGTTCACAGTGATTACCGTGGGTGTGTGGGCTGGGGAACCACGACTTGGGAGCAGTTCTGCAAAAATCATCCCAGAGTTGCACCAGCCCACAGGCTGCGTGTGAGTCAACATCATCATCATCACAGCGTGAGGAAAGCAACTGCATCAGCTTGGGCTGGACAGAGAGGAAGAAGAAAGGAGAAGCAATCCTTCCCATTTGCTCTGAGCAACAGCCCCATGTACACTTTGGGGCATTTCATCTCCAGAGCCTGCAAGGAAAGCAAGGAGGACCTTGGGCTGGCCAGTCTGGAAAACAGAAGACACTTGAGGTTGGCCTTTGAGGCACAGAAAACAACAGCTGAATGAGCCTCTGTGCCCGTGGCAGACACTGATCACTGCTGAGGCTGAAGAGCAAGAAGCCCTTGGGGAAGGGAAGTTTCCAGAAGAAGTTGTGTGACCTTGACAAGGAGCTGGATTTGATGGAAAGAAATTTCCCCTGGGAACGTGTGCTAGGGCCAGGTGGATTTCAAGGCTTGGGAGCTTTCACAAAGCCATTCTCAATTTTCCCCTCTTTTCCTTTCATAGTTTTCTAAGCTTTCAAGCAGGTTCATTCAGCTGGGAGGCCTGGCCTCTTCACTCTGCTTTGCCACACACTCTTGAGGAGAAGTGTCAGGGCGAGAGGTGTTTGTTTAGAAGAGGTAGAATACAGAAATGATCAGTTACTATCATGGTGTCCAAGACCCTGCAAAATTCAGCCCTGATCTGCCATGACAGGCTGTTGTCTTCCAGCAGAGCAGGAGGCAGCACTGAGTTAATTAACTGCATGATAGGGAAAATTCTGAAGAAAGAGACTTTCACTCTCTGCTCATGCCCCCAGACTTATTTGTGGTTGATCCCCAGGGTCTCGTTGGCCTCACAGAGCTGTTCCCATAGAATCACTAAGGCTGGGAAAGACCTCCAAGAGCATCAAGTCCAACCTTTGACCAGATGCCACCTCATCAACCAGACCACAGCACTAAGGGCCATCACATGGTGTCAATGAAACTGCCACCACATGTCACCGATCTGCAGCAGCAGCCACAAAACCAGGAGCAGCTGCACCAAGGAGCATTTTCCCTTGCAGGTTGTCTCAGGTCACTGATTTAACCCATCTCCTGGTGACACAGAGAAGCCACTCCCCATGGTGAAAGCCAAACAGCTTGATCCCAAAACACCCCAGTGTCAGCTGGAGGAGTCAGGGATCCTGTGGGGAGCATTTGTGCTGTTGGCATCTCAGCTCTGAAAGCCAAGGCAACGATCCCTTTGGGGACTGAGCTTCCTGCACTGGGGTGCAGGTGCAGAGGGGTTCCTGTAGGGATCCACACCCTGCTCTCACCTTTAGGACGAAGGTGTTGTCTTTGTCAGGCATCTCCAGGGGCATGGTGGTGCGGACCTCGATGATGGCTGACAGCGGGATGCTCACCTTGGGTTTGGAAGCCTGAAAAAAGGAAAAAAAATGCCAAAGAAAATAAGTGAAAAGAAATCAATGAATTAAAAAAAAAAGAAAAAAAGTCACTCAATTGAATCAAACTGTCCCTGGGGACAATGCAGCAGGGCTCTCAGAGGCAAGATCAGTTCAGCCTGTGTGGTTATTACAGGGGGGGATAAACAGCATTGATTTCCCTCCCGTGCCTGATAACTCTGAGCTCTGTGAATTAAACCAAGAGGAGGCCCAGTGGAAGACAGGGAGGTGCTTTTAGCTGCCAAACCACCCTCCTCGCTCCAGCGCAGGCTGATGTGCCAGCTCTGCCAACACCACTTAATTTCTCTCCATTTTCAACCCTCTCCCAATAGAGAGAGCTGTGCTAGCTGATGGGGGATGCTTCCCATGCAGAATGCAGCCCCATTTCTCCAGCACAGGAGCAGCATTTCAACCGAGCAGCTACGACACAGCAGCCTCAGCCATGCAGGGAATTTTAATTACATTAAAATAAAGAAAAATGAATTTCCCCCAGGGCCCCTGGCACCCGCCGGAGCCTCGGTGGGGAGGCAAGACCCGGTGCCTCCCACTCCAAGTGTTTGCTGAGCAACAAATTCCCCAGATATTTGTTTTAATTATAACAAATCCCCACAAAGGAGCTCGTGGAGCTGCTCTCCAGGGCTGGTCCCCTCCAGGGCTCTGGGATTTGCAGCACTGCAGCTGCAGGAAGCAGAGATGAGATTTAGTCACCAAAACCTGTGCCTTGGGTGCAGTGGGTGGGATAAGGCCAGCAAGGAGCTCCAGGCTGCAAGTTACCAATAACGGGCTCAGTTCCCATTTTTATTAGGAAATAAAAATAAATAAATCCAAGACAGAACAGAAATTGCTTTTTCCCTTTCAGGATGTTTCGTTTCTGCCAGCCCCAGAGCCCCAGTGCTGCCTGCAGACACGTCTCAGCCGTGCAAGGCTCTGCCCATCCCTGGGGAATTTTTCCATCTTGGTGTTTGCACAGGAGAAGGTCAGAAAGGAAGCAGCAGCTGCTTCGAAAGGAAAGGAAACAAGGTGATAATTCACCCCTGAGCCAGAGAAGGGTGTCAGAATCATAGAATGGTTTGGGGTGGAAGGGACCTTTAAGATCATCTCATTCCAACTCCCTCCTCTCCAGGGGGATTCTTCCCTTTAAAAGACACGGCCATAGTTTTTGTTGGGTCTATGCAAAAACAAAGCTGTGGGCTGCTGAAGCAAAAAGCAGTTTTCTTCCAGCTGTGCCAGACTGGTGCCACTTTTACATTTGCCAGATGGAAAGCAAGATGGGATGACAGGAGAAAGCTGTAAACCAAAGTGGGGTGTGATTATAACAGAAGAACAGACAATGTTCATAAAAGTTGCCATAAAGTAATTTCAAAATTGATTTTTAGAGGCAAATCAAGATACACTGAAAAACGGATTTCTCTATGAGCTCGCTCTTAAATGTTTTAAGAGCAGCAGTTGTTCCATTTTAACCCAAGTTTATTTTCTTTTTGGTGCAGCTGACATGTCAGGCTTCATCAGATCCTCCATCCATAGAATCACAGAATGGGTTGGGTTGGAAGGAATCCTGTTCCACTCCCTCCTATGGGCAGGGACACCTTCCACTATCCCAGGTTGCTTCGAGCCCTGTCCAACCTGGCCTTGGACACTTCCAGGGATGGGGCAGCCACAGCTTCTCTGGGCAACCTGTGCCAGGGCCTCCCCACCCTCGCAGGGAAGAATTCCTTCCCAATCTCCACCTATTCCTATTTAAAGCCATTCCACCATGTCTTGTCACTCCATGCTTTTGTAAGATGTCCCTCTCCAGCTCTCCCATAGGCTCCCTAGTGGGCACCATGGACATGGGGTTGTTTTCTTCCAGCCAGGCCCCATTCCTGGGCTAGGGAAGACTCCAGTCCAGCCCAGAGCAGTGCCCACCATACTCATGCTGAGCTGCTCTCCAGAGGGATGCATTTGAGTCTAAACTCATGTGTTATATTTTCTCAAAAGGTGAGAGGCACAGACCAACACCAAGAGTGCAAGGTTCATTTTGGCCTGCAGACTGGATGAGTTTCAAGCACATTTTCCCATCCATTCACACCTCAGCCACACAGCACCAGATCTCCCTCTGGACCAGAGCTGGATTTCAGCCCAGCTCAGCAGCAAAAACAAAAAAACCCAAGCATAGCCCAACTTCTGCTTGAATTTCTCATAAAAAACAACAAAAGCCAGGACTTACCTTTGGAGGGACATAAAACTCCAGGAGGAACCTCTCTCCTTCCACCTTCACCGCCTTGCGCAGCAGGAGGCGGCACTTCTGCCACTGCGAGCTGCCCACACAGTTCGTGTCATCGGCCACCATGTAGCGCAGCGTCCCCTCCCTCTGGATGTCCACCAGCTCCACCTTGGACGAGGGCACCTTGGACAGGCGCAGTTTGTGTGTCCATTTCTCCCGAGGGTCCCCGGGCTCCTTGCCCCCAGCTGGCCACGGCTCCCTCTCGGCTCTGCGGCCGCCCAGGGCAGCCTCGGCGCCCGGCTCCGGAGAGGATTTGCGGTGCCACATCTCCTTCATCCCATCCACCACGCACAGGCTCATGTTCCTCAGGGAGAAGCCTTTCTTGAACTTGGGCTTGGCAGCAGCGTGCATGGACACGTCCTCAGAGCTGCGGGACTGCCCGTAGGAGGAGACCTTGTGAGCCTGCACCTGCTGGGCTGGGGTCAGGTACCGGCTGGCGCCCAGCGGGGCGTCCATGCTGTCCAGAGACTCCGTGGATGTCTCCTCCTTCCTCGGGGTGACCTCCCGCCCGTAGGGGACGTGGCAGTTCTGCAGCCCCACGAAGGGCACGATGTTGTACTTGGTGGGCGAGTCAGACACGAACACCCGGCTGACCTCCAGGCTGAAGATGTCCAGGAAGTTGGCGGTGAAATGGTGGGAGAAGGAGGTCTCTGCCCCGGGAGTGTCGTAGTGGGGGTTCTCCTTCAGGAATTGGCAGAACTTCTGGGCAAAGTCCACGGCGGCTGCCTGGGCGTGCAGCTTGCAGAACTCCCTCCAGTCGGGGAGCGGGGAGGAGGGCTCCTGGCACAGGGCATCGCCGTTCATGGCTGCCCCATTCCACCTGCCGGCGGGCTGAGGGACAAGGACACGGCCTGAGAGTGGCAGGGACATGGACAGCCCACCCTGTCCCCCAAAAACAGGGGAGATGGACAACCCGCCCTACCCCCCACCATGGGGACATGGACAACACACCTTGTCTCCTCCTAAATGGGGACTAGGGCAACACACCTTGTTGCCCCACCCAAGGGGGGCTTTATACATGGACAACACATCCTGACCTCCCAAAGTGGGGTTTGAACATGGACAACAACCCTGACCCCCAAAAATGGGGGTCACCCCTTGCCATGATGCCAGAACTGATCTGCAGTTCCAGTGAAAAGGAAAATGCTGCGTGGAAGTGTCTGTGTGTCGCTCTCTCTCCACCTCATCCACTAGGAAAAAATCTTGGCCCTGGCAGCAGCCATAAATTGTACTTATTTTACGATTATGACCATGCAAAAGCATTATTGATTTCTCATGAAACCGCTAAGGAGTCCCTGAGCGGAGGAGCCCGGGGGGATTTGCCTGCAGGATTCCTCTCACTCCGTGTCTGCCTGGGCATGGCACAGCTCTCCATAGGGGGAGGGAGCACCGGGACACCTGGAAGTACCCACCCAGGGCAGCATCCTCCCCTCTGCAACCAGCAGCTGCTCCTTCTCTTTCTCCAGTCTCTGTTTCTGCCCTCATCCTTTGCCACATCAATTTTGGGATTTTGCCACCCCCTCTGAGCATCAGCTAACAGATAACCGAGGATAGGTCCTCAGCAGAGCCAATGAGTAGGTCGGGTACAGGGGGAAAAGGAGCAGAAGCCAGAGCCAGGAACACACCAGAAGATGATGGGAGCTGCACACCAGACCTGTGAGCCCTTTGGAGAAGCACCACTTTGCCCAACCTCCACACTGGTCCTTCTCACAGTGGCTGTAGGACTGGCAAGGCACCAGCCTGGTGCTCATGCTGCACTTCCCAAATCTCTACCTGGCTCAGAGCAGCATGAACAGCTTAACCTGGGAGACCCCAGCAGCGACTGCATCTCAAAAATCACCTCCCAGTGCCCAAACTGCTCATGGCCGCTGGTGCTGGTGGAGCACTGCTGAGTCCATGACCCCAAACACCTGGTCCCTGTGTCCAGACACCCCTTCTTCCTCCCCTCCAAGGGCAGCAGTTTGGCAAATCCACTGCCTGAAACACTGAGTCCAACGGTGCCTGTGGCTGCCCTGCTCCAGGCAGGGATTGTGCCTGTGGGATCCCGTTCTGGAAGGGCAGGACAGTTCCCCCGGGTTTTGCTGTTCTCCATTCACACAGCAGCTCTTTCCCTGGATTTTGCTGCTCCCCATTCACAGAGCAGCTCTTTTGCTGGCGAGGGATTACTCCTGCTAATAAATCACGCGCTGTACCCCGCCGGCAGCTTACACGGCCAGTAATTAATTACTGCTCGGATGAACGGCACAAGCCATGGCATGGGGCAGGCACTGAGGACTGGCATAACCTGCTCCTAATCCCCCAGACCCCAACCATGCCAGTCCCCAGACCCCAGGCAGGACCGAGCCCTGAAGGCTGTGATTCAGAGCAGCAGCTGTGGCCAGGAGCTGCTTGCCATTTCCCCAGCACATCCCTATGGAGATGAGTTCTCTGGGAGTACCTCCATCCCAGGAAGTGGCTCACAACCCTCCCAGACAGGGAGAAACCCACACAGGCAACAAAATCCCAACAGAAACACGACACGTGGCATTTTCCCACCTTTAAGGCAGCGATGCTGCTCAGGGCTCTGGCTGTGCCGAGGAGGCACTGAGGACAGGCTACATATGTACCTGCACTGGCTCCTCACATCACACAACACCAGCAGAGCTCCAGCCCCTGCAGAAATCCCTGGCAAAGCTCTCCCCAGCATCACAGGGCTTTCCCGGAGACCTGAGCAGGGAGCCATGCCAGCTGGGAAAAAAACCATCCCTGCAGTTTAGGAGCAGCATCTGAATTTCCCCAAGAGACATCAGCAAAGCAGCAGAAAATGCAAAGCTGTTTGTTACCCGCCCAGCAAATGAAATTCCTAATTATCCATCCATCACCAAGCAGAAGATTTAAAGACTCTGCCCTTTGAATCGAAAATTCACAACCCCAGCTCTGCCATGGCCTGGGAGCTGCCCTGGCACCAAGCCACAGGCCAGGAGTATTTGGGCTCCGGGAGAAAAGGGGGATGAAAAGGAGTCTCCTGCTGCAAATCCAAGCAGTCACAGCAAGAGCAAGGGAGAGGGAAAGGGTGCAAAGGGAAAAGAGCAGGAAGGGGCTTGTGGGGGGAGGAGAAAGCCCCTCAGTGATGGTTTTATTTGCATCTGCCCAGGGTGTTGAGCCCCGGGGCTTTGCTGGTTTCCCTCCCATGAATTTGGGGGAAAACACCAGAGAGAGGAAGGACTGGTGCTCAGGGCCTGCCTGTTTGAAACCAAGGGATAGCAAGCTATCAGACTCCGAGAGGTTAAGGGGAAAGAAAAAGAAGAAGAAGGAGGAAAAAAAAGGCACTTCAAAAAAGATAAAGCCCCAAACAAAAAGCCTCAAGGAGATCCAGGCACGGCAGCCGGGCTCAGGCTCGGAGACACGCACGCAGAGGCATCACAGCATCTTCCTTTCATCTGCATGGGGATGACAGACTTTAAAAGGCCAATTTATAAAAATGAAGCCTAGAGGAGAGACATCTGGCAGGTCTGAGGAGGCGGCGGCGGGGATTACTAACCCTGTGCCACATATCCAACCCCTCCTGCCTGGAGCACAGCCAGGAGCCCCCGGCCAGGATCCAACAGCACAGCCTGGGAGTCAGTGGGGTGGTTTAAGGGCAGCCCCTGGGACTGCAGAGCCATCCCCGCCCCTGATTCACCTGATTTCTGCAGGAAGCAGGCTCCCAATTATCTGTGTAGATTTACCTTTAATCTGGATGCCTGCACTCCCCTCCATACCAACAGCTCTGCCCCACTTCTTGAAATAACTTGTCATGCCACAGACAGCATCCCTGGGCAGAGCACTGGAAACGGAGACGAAAATAAGCTCACAGTGAAAATAAGCAGCAAATCTGCAACTGCTTTTTGGAAAAGGCCATCCCCTGCCAGCCCAGCTTCCTGAGGGCTGCAGCATGCTCCAGGCACCTTTCTAAGGAGCCAGGTCCCTTTAGAAATTCCATAAGCCCACTCCAGAACTGGCTCAGGGGTCACAGCCTTGAGTCCCTGGCCTGAGTGACACAAGAGGACAGAAAAGTAAATACATAAAATGGGGTGGTTTGTTGTCATGAAGAAGCCATGGAGTGGCAACCACGGCATCAAGCTGGTGGATAGGGTTCTAACCCACTTCAACGAGTCCCCAAACTCCTCACAGGGCTGAGCTGTGCCTGCTGCCTCTGTCATTTGGGAAACTGAGTCAAGATTTAAGAAGAGAAGATAAAAATAAAGAACTCTTGGGGCTTGCCAAGTGGAAACCCAGGCTGGGATGGCAGGTGAGAGCCAGCTGCTGGCAGTGATTTGGGACACCTCTCCCACCAAAGTGGGCTGAGGCATCCCCTGCTCCGGGGGGAGGGTGGGGAGTATGGAATAATCTGAAAGTTGAAGCAAAGCTACTGACCTCAAGAAAAAATGAAATTTAAACTGTCAGCAGAAGCGCAGGAGACCATAAAAAAACAACTCCCCGGTGAAGCAGGAGTCAGGGAGCAACAACAAAGCCACTGGGATTTGCTGAACCACAGGCGTGGGGAGGAACCAACATCTAATGAGGTGTTAATAACTCGAATGCGCAACACCGGTCATGGGATGGCCAGCACCGCCTGCCCAGCGCTGGCTCTGATGGCTTTATTTAAGGAAACAACCCTAATAAAGAGATGTTTCCCTTCCGCCCGGCACAGCGCACCAGGCTGGGACAAAGTGATCCGAAACTCAGCGGGGGAAAAGCACGGTCTGGTGCAGGTTGTGAGTTGAATCTCTCCATCCATGCCTGCATCCCTCCACCTGTCTGGGAAAACGGGAAAGGAAAAGCCAGCGCAGGGGGACGTGCAGCAAAGCTCCTGGGGAAGGAGATGCCAGCTCAGCCCCGGCTGTCCCAGCCCTGCGAGGCTGCTCGGTTTCCAGCAAGATCGATGCCATTCAAAGCCCCAGCTGGTCATCCCGATCCCGCGGGAATGACGTGAGGAAACCCAGGCACCTGCTCCCCCAGAAAAGCGCCTGACCTCAGCGTGCCATGCCAGAGGAGATCCCCGAGTCACGAGCGGGTCGCAGAGCAAGGCGATACCCGCGGGCCCCCGAGGGGATGCTCCTGGCAGGCAGCTCCTGACACACGGGCAGCTCCCGAGGGAGCTGTGCCTGCCTGCACAGCCCCGAGCAGACGGGAAAACAGCTCAAACCAGGCGGCAGGGACGGCGTGAGGGCAGGAGAGAAGCAGGGGCATCATCCCCGCTGCCACTGCGCAAGCACAACGGGATGAGGGATGCGAGGAGCTGATCTCCTCCCATTCCACAGCCGAGATCTGGAGCGTGTGACCAAGTGACCTCCTCCCTTTGTCACCTCGAGGACCCTTCCTAGCCCTGGAGACCCACCAGAGCTTTAACTGCGTGCAGAGGCTGAGCTGAGGAAGAGAAAACCACAGGGAACAAAAGCAGAAGTCACCTGCCTTGTGCCTGTCACACCCCCCAGACCCTTGACCACAGCCCTGGCGTGGGAGAAGCTGATTGCTCTCCATGCTCCTCAGTACTCCATGTACTATTTATACTATTGTGATCTTAAATCAGGCTGTCTGTCTGGACCAGATAGAAATGGAAACATTCTTTGTTCCTCTCATTTACTGGCCATCCCACTAAAATATGAATTGAACAGCATTTTGGCCTCAAATTTTATAGTCAAATCACCTGCCTCAAACCAATCCCTCAGCAGGAACATGCTTTAATTCCCTGCTTAGATGCACTTCAGGGTCCACCTGTTACCTGCAGGTTAGAAAACATTTTTCTGAAGTGAAAAGGCTCCTTGTGTCTTTTCCTGCTGCTCAGTGAGGGGTCCCACTGGCCAGCCCAGCTCTCACAAAGGATGCTCCAAAGCACTCATTAGTGCTAGGTGGCCAGGACAAGGTTTTGGGGTGCAGGTGCTTAGGGGACACATCTTCAAAAGAGACAGTGGGCAAGAAACGAACCTTTCCCCCTCCTGCACATAAAGGTGTCTCCACAGCTCAGTGTGATATCCTGATTCCAGCCCCAAAGGAACCAATGCTCCTGAAAATGAGCAGATGGGCCCATGAGAGCCCCGCAGCAAAACCTGAGATTTTCTCCATTTCCCACTATTCTGACCACACCACAGGGTTGTTTCTCTCCCTCTCCCCCAAAATCCCCTGCAGTGGATGTTGTACCTCCTGTGCTGACAGCTGCTGGAAAATAAAGACACGTTCATAGATAAGATCCACTGGATCATGGATAATCTTTTCCCTGAGTAATTCCATCCAGCTTGCAAGGAGCCTCACCCAAGCCACTCAACCTGCTGAGTACCTGCCAGTGTTGTGGGACCCAGCCATGGAGACAGGGTCCCCAGGGTGCAGCGACAATGATCAGCAAAGCTTTGGTGAATCTAGGCATCATGAACGCATCTTGGGGCTTGGGAAATGTGTTGGTGTCTGGGAATAAAGCAAAGACACTCCCTCAACGTCCCAGAGGAAAAGCTATTGGAAAAAAAAAATTAAAAAACCAGAGCTTGAAGTGAAGGAGGTCAGAGGCTGTTGTCCATTCCCCCTCACTTGGATGCCACCTCACGTGCCTGTCTCCAGCCAGAGAGCTTCCCACAGAAAACTACCCAGTCCAAAGTCTATTTTTAACCACCACAATAGCAGAGCCTCCCCTGAGGAGCAGCAGAAGCCCTGTCCCCAACCAAGCAATCTCACATTTCCCTCGCTAAGCCTCGACTTCCTTCCGCCCCTCAGCCCACAACAAAACCCTTCTCCTCCTCTCGCCTTCCCATCCTCACAAAACTATTTGCACATCCATCCATCCATCCATCCCCCTCCAGGCTGGTGTGCTGTGGGTGCAGAGTGTCCTGCTCACCTGTTACACATTAACCACTGACCTGGTACCTGTGGGCAGACCCTTCCTGGACTCAGAAATCCCAAACAACAGGAGATTCATCTGCTCAGCCCCCTCCCCTGGGTGCACCCAGAACTCTGGGGATTTAAAGAAAAAGCCTGGCAACGTCAACCCAACTGCACTTCACAAAGTAAGTGGAAACTCTTTAAAAGAGATTACTCTTGCCCTGGGGATTTCTGTGCCATGGAGGAGCTCTTTGGGTGTTTTTGGGGAGAGAGCTGAGTGGATGCTCAATAAAGCAAATCCTGATGGATACAGCACAGTCATCACTGGGGATCCCCCATCATTAGGTCAGAGAAACCCCTAAGATTGTTTTTCAATTACAGCACATAATAAACATGAGATAAAGTTACACAGTTCTGTAGGAAATTTTCTTATTATGTTTTTTTTTTAATGTTGCAGATCTAATTCCCCACACGCATCACTGTCTCATACCCGCCTGCAAACAGCCTTAAACTGCTGCCTAATGGTATCTGAGCTGGGGAAATTCAATTCTACCCAGCGCCTCACCCAGGACTGCTACAATCACTGCTAATTGCTTAAGTGGTGTATTAAGCAAAATAAAAATTCCAGTGGGCTTTGAACTACCCCCCCCACAACCAGATGATGCCAAAACACCCTGTTACAGCTGCCAACCCTGGCTGGAGATCCAACCTCAAATATCCTTTTTCTCTTCACTGTGCAGGGATGCTCCTGGGCAGGCAGAGCTTCGTACCCAGCGTGGCCATGACCACACCAGAGCGATTCACAGGCTGGGTCCAACTTTGCCATCCCTCTTGCCAGGGTTCTGGGGTGCCATTGCAGCCCCCCTCCTGCCCCAGGGTCCAAATACTGCCAGGCCCCAGTGGAGCAGGACACAAATATCTTCCCAGTGGGACCCTGGGGTGGATGCACACTGGGTACCTCTCCTGTCCCCCCACCTGTGGGTGTGGATGGATGTGGGGCTCCAGTCAAGTCTCATCCCAAACCCAGACCCTGCACTAGAGCAAGCAGATTCTCCAAGCCCTTCTGGTTTTCCCTTTAGCAAAAAAATCAGGTGTGGGATGCAGTTTTCCCTTTAGGCATGTTCTCCCCTCCTCTCCACCGTGACGGAGCCAGTTGGGACTGAATTTCTGGGAGCACACCTGGGGGCAGGGTCCCCAGGTTCCCGCTGCCTGCACAAGGAAGTGGATCACTGAGCCAGGGAGAAGTCTCCAACCCATATCCCACCACCTCACTGGCATCCATGGGCAGAGAAAGCAGCTGAGGTCAAGTGAGGGCACCCACAGGCAGGAGGGGAATGATGCAGGAACCCCGAGCTGGAAGCACTGCCCTGTGGCACCCCAGCCAGCCAGCCTGAGTCAGCAGGGCCAGCAGATGTGCAACCATCATCGGATTTCTCTGCTTCTGCTGGGAAGAAGAAGAGGAGGAAGAGGAAAGGCATTAGCCAGCAATATCCTCATCTTGAAGAGACGGGTGTTCTACCTCCAAGGAGGAAGGACAAGAGGAGGCTGGACAGGACAAGCCCATGATGTCATGAGGGTGCTCACAGTCCAGGAGAAGAGGGAACAGACCTGATGGCCCAGGGAAACAGCCAGAAGAGACAGCCCTGCAGTCACGCAGCCACTGCAGCCCTGAACCAACTGAGGAACTCACAGTGGAGGAAGGAGGTGACTTTTACCCCAAAGCCTTGACCAGACAGGGATGGGAACCAGGGCTAACGTCCTCCTCGATGGCACAGGGGTCTGGTCACTGAGCTGGGTAAGACACCAGGCAGAGTGGGCAAACCTGTGTGCTCCCCAAGCTAGAGCAGAGAGGATTATGCAGCTTTTTTAGGAAACACTCAGGGGTAGCCCTGGGCTCCTCTGCTGCGTTATAGTGATGGTGAGACATTGGGAATACCACTGAAGGACACAGAGGGAAGGTCCAAGGGCGCTTGCCATCCCATCTGAGCAGATCTCCTGGCAGCACACATCCACCTGTCTGTACAAATGTGCCCTCCCCCCAGGGAAGGGGGGCTGAGCATTTTGGAACAGCCTGTGTGGTTTAGGAGGATGATTCCTATTTAGAAAGGCATCCCCACATGTCCATGGTCTTTCTCCACTCTCCCAACAAACCAAACCAAAAATCCTCATGGAAGGGAGCTCTGAGTAATCATAGAATCGTTGAGTTTGGAAAAGACACCAAGATCATCCATTCCAACCATTCCAGCACTGCCCAGGCCACCACTAACCCATGTCCCCAAGTGCTACATCTACACCAGGGATGGTGACTCCACCACTGCCCTAGGCAGTCTGACAACTCTTTCAGCAAAGCCATTTTTCCTAATATCCAACTAAACCTCCCCTGGCATAACTTGAGGCCATTTCCTCTTGTCTGGTCAACTGTACCTGGCTACCACTTCCTTTCAGGCAGTTGTAGAGAGTGAGAAGGTCCCCCCTGAGCCTCCTTTCCTCCAGGCTGAGCACCCCCAGCTGCTCCTCATCCACTCAAAGCCACAGGACAGGGCCCGTGGGGGGTTTTGGGCAGGGTGCTGGGGGAACTGAGAGGTTTTTACCTCTTTTCCCGTTCCAGTTCACAGGATCCCCGAAGCACCGGCAGCGTGGCTCTTGCAGGTCAAATGCATAACTTCAACCGATCAATTTCCACACTGGAAGGAAGTACCAGCCCGACTTGGAGGGAGGGACCTGGAAGGCAAAGGTTTAGGCTGTCAATAGGAGCCAGAGCAATATCCCCAGGCACATCTCACCTCCCCCAAGCCACAGTGCTGCTGGGCTGCAGCCTGACTTCACCAAAACCAGAAATAAGCAGAAGGGCCAGGCAGAAAGTCCCCCCCGAGCCTCCCAAGGGCCTTCCCGCGGTGCTGCCCGGGCTCAGCAGAGCAGGGCTGGAGAATTCCCGGGAGCCGCAGCTGCCCCACGGCTGTCCCCGGGGACGGCCGGCACCGTCTGCCCGGGGCTGCGGCGCCCTCGGGGGGCCCCCGGAGCAGCCTGCACCCCTTGTGCAAACCCAGGACAATACTGACTGAAAACAGGCGAGCATCCATGCGGGGGGCTGCGTGCTGCCTGTACCCCCCCCCTACCCCCAGCCTCGGGGGGAACCAAGCCATGGCTGCAGCCCCCAGCCCCGCAGCAGTCCCGCATCCCCGCAGCAGCCCCCAGGGCAGGGAGAGCCCAACCCATGGCTGCAGCCCCCGGGCCGAGCCGGGTCTGCCCCATCAGCGGGGCCCGAGCGGCGGCGATGCTCACCGGGAAGAGGGGGGGGACCCAGCCGGGGGAGCGGCGGCGAGGGGAGGGGAGGGGGCGGCCCGGGGACCCTCCCGGATGCACCGCGCCGCAGCGGCGGGGGGCGGGACCCTCCCCCGGGTGGGGGATCCGCTGCTGAGCGGGGGGGAAGAACCGCGAAAAACCGGGAATAACCGGCAATAAAGGGCCCTCCCCTCCCGCCCGCTGGCGCGGTGCCGATACCGGTGCCGGTACCGGAGGG